TGACATTCATGCTTTGAAGCAATAAGATATTTCAACAGAAAAGAGAAATGCTGTTAGCATTAGAAAGTTTTTGTAGAAAATAGACAATGAATAAAAAATAAAAATGGAGAACAAGATGCCTGCTTTATCCAGTTATTCCTGGTTATTGGCTAAGCAAGAAAGTTCTACACTAAGAACTTGGAACATAGATATAGAACAGTGATGGCTAACCTTTTTGCTGTTGTGTGCCAAAAGCGGGAGCATGGGGGGGGGGTGCATGTGTGTGCCCACACCCATAATTCAATGCCCCCCTACACCATGCCCCCCACATACATGTGCACGCGACACCCCCCCGTGCTTCCCCCGCTTTTGGCATGTGACGGCAAAAAGATTACCAGTGGGCCCGGTACATCCGTTTTTTGCCCTCTCCAGGTTCCAGAGGCTTTCTTGTAGCCTGGGGATGGCGAAAATAGCTTCCCCCACACCCGAGGCCCTCCGGAGGCCAGAAATGGCCAGTTTCCCGACTTCCGGTGGGCTGGAAGACCTGAAAATCAGCTGGCTGGCGCGTGTATGCGTGCTGGAGCTGAGCTAGGGCAACGCTCACGTGCCCACAGATATGGCTCCACATGCCACCTCTGGCACGCGTGCCATAGGTTCGCCATCAGGGATATAGAATATTAGGGTTGGAAGGGTTTTGGAGATCTTCTAGTCCAAGCCCCTGCCCATGGCAGAAGATCCTATACCATTATGGATTTTCTTTGGGCTTGATGGGATGGATAGACATGATCACAGAAAGAATAACAAAATAGAATAATAGAGTTGGAAGGGACACCAAAGATCCTCCAGCCCAACCCCCCACCCAAGCAAGAGATGCTATACCATTTCAGTCAAATGGCTGTTTAATCTCTTCTTAAAAATCTCCAGTGATGGTGCAGATGCAACTTCTGGAGCCAAGTCATTCCAGTGGTTTATTATTCTAACTGTCAGGAAATTTCTCCTTAGTTCTAGGTTGCTTCTCTCCTTGATTAGTTCCCATCCATTGCTTCTTGTCTTTTCTTCAGGTGCTTTAGAGAATAGGTTCTTTGTTTCCATTTCAGTGTAATCATTCTTACTAAAAGTATTGGCTTGATTTTCATTACAAAACTATTTTGATACATGAAAGATCTAGGAGTTCACAAGGAAATATTCAAGGGGGGGGGAAAAATCCCCAAAATTATGAACTCCTGGAGAATATTCATCTAAATTGTAGACAATCAAGTAAAAAATCCAGTGGCAGCAGTAGTGTCTGGCAGTATTTATAAAAATAGCATGTTCTTTCACTAGCTTTTTAAAAAAAAATCTGAGCTGAATGCTGTAACACTTTTACCTAAAGATATTAAAGCTTTTTTCTTTTTCTTTTCTTTTCTTGCAATGCCATCAGAAACACTAACCATCTTAACATATAGCAACATTTTAAAAAAACAAAGCAACAATAATCTACTTTTCATGCTGATCACTTTTATATATAAATGGAAATTAAATAATTTTTGTTAATACTGAAATAGGTAGTAGATTGATATTTGTGAAATTTTTAATGGATTTTTACAAAATGACAGTATTGCTGGAAGACTATTTACAACATCCTAAGTGATTAAAATAATTTAATTTGAAATTTATCCTTTATCAAACCATGAATTTCCCTTTTAAGTATGCACTTGAATTTAATTTCTGAAGGTTTATGTCAGGAATCAGGATATGTTCAGCACCCTTAAGTGATAAACTGTACTTCATAAAATTGTTTGTTTTTCTATTCATAAGCAAGAAAAGATTCCCCAAAGAAATACGTTAAGAATTCTGCTCCATGAGAATGAAATTATAATGTTCTAAAACCCATTAGGATGATGCTGGGAGCCTTTATTTTTTGCTGAAGAAAAAAAAAAAAAACAGCAAAGCATCCTACAATCTCAGGTTTGCCACTGAAGTTAGCTATTCACTAAATAACTATTATCTAAAGCTCTCTTCCTTTTATCCCTGGAGATAGTGGAGAGGATGAGAGTTCTGCAAGGAGATACACTTACCACGCACTCAATTATTTTCTGAATCATTTAAGTTGCTTCAGTGATTTCACATTCTGGCAGCGTCTTTACACGCAGTAAGTGTTATTCAGTCCAATAGGACTGAAAATAATACAAAATCATATAACAGAGAAATATTATGGAATGTCCCTAAATTCTGGAAGGTTTGAGAATGGGGAAAAAAGTGAGTCTCTTCAGTATTTGTTAACAGAAGGAGACCATAAAAAGATCATAAAAATCTATCTATGTCACATCTGCTAATAAAACTTGAAAAGCTATGGTGATGGTATATTCTTTATTGCGCTTTCTCCCCATTCACTCAAAAGTATTTGGCATCTCCTTCAACAAAACCGTCACACACACACATCCTGACCAGCAGCCACCAACAGATAACCTTTCCTGTCACTTTATTTCCTTGTTCAGAGAGCGCTGCTTATTGATACCTATCTGTCATGACATAGCTGTGGCCTATTTGTTTATACAGGAAAGCTTCTGCATACCTGCAGTAGGCTAAAAGTCTACTTTTATTCTTAACTGACAATCAGACCCTGAATACATATAGGACACATCCCTGTTTGCATATAGGAATCAAAGCGAAGGAAACTTGACACTTTCTATGCTAACGGTATATAAATTCCAAAGGTGGCACTTATGTGTGATTAGCTAATTTTTGAACAAGAGATAGCTAAGACTTAAATTGTATTGGTTATATTTATATTCACCCACAGAGAAAGGAAGCGCAATAGAAAAACATAATATAACTGCCCCCCCACTAGAAGTGAGGCTAGACCCCTCTATAAAGGACGTTGGAAGTTTTTATGGACCAAACTTCAGCTCAATTGTTTCCTAACTCTAATATCTAGAATACTTTAAGAAATGATGTCAAGTAGCATCATTGGGGAATTTATTCATGCAAACAATGTATTCTTGTACTGGCAGCTGTGCCTATGATCTGTTTCACTTTATTCTGAGCCATGTAGGGTGGAAGGAGTATTGGGTGTAATTTTACAAATTGTTGGGTATCAGGCAGAATCACTAAACAACTTGTGCATGTGTGTGTGTGTAGAAAATGATAACTATAAAACATGGAAAAGCTTAAAAGACAACGATACTGGGAAATATAAGATTACTGTATGTCAAATCTGTGCCCACTGTTATAAAAAGTTGAAAAAAATTATTTTGAAAAAAAAATATTGACTAAAATTACACACACACACACACACACAAATGATGGTGAAGTTGTTACACGTGATTGTAGGTACTGCAGCATAAAAATTGCAAAAATGTAGAAAAAAAATGTATTTGAGTCGTCCATATATAATACTAATAGGAAGAGAGGTATGAGAGGGTGTGTAAGAGGACAGATGTTTCCAAAAAGAATGTGAACTGCAGTGGTGGATTGCCCCCAGTTCGCATGGTTCTATAGAACTGGTAGTAAAACCGGCGGGAAGTTCCACCCACCGACCCCAACATCATCAAATCGCTTTTGTGCATGCGCAGAAGTTTCTGTGCTTGCGCAGAAGAGCATGCGCACGCGGCCACACTGTGAACCAGTAGTAAAGGTAAGTAGAACCCACCCCTGGTGAACTGGATATAAAAAAGTGGGTAAAGACTTCGACATAGGTGTCTTCAGGAGAGGGGTAAAGAGGGCAAATCTTGAAACATGCATTGTGACATCATGAAAAGATAAACTTGTGTCATGATGTTATAACGCACTTTGAACTTTGAAGATCATAAACCTTCAGAAAGCACTGAATAATGCTGTATGAAACAATGAATAACCACTGACATTTTTCTAGCCATACTGTTTGCTTTTTCATGTGGTATTACTTGAAAGTTATTTCACCAATAAAGATCAGCTATAAAAACTCACACTCTATGAAAAAAAGTATCATCTGATTGATCCTAGGATTTAAATATGGAATGGGAATTGGGGCCAGTCAAAAGAAAAAGCATGCAAACTTCAGATTTATTCTTACCATTCAATTTCTAAAAAGGCTCAACGCTGCTTAATGTCTGATATAAAATGTGGATGGAATGACTAAAAGTTCCAGTCTCATATCTATCTCACTATAAATATGTTAGGCATAACATAAAAATATCTGTTACTCTGGGATCATAATTGTCAGGGACAAGATAAGGCCAAAGTATAGATATGAAGATTTTTTTTTTGTAGTATGCTATATTTTAGAGTGATTTGCTCAGTTGAAGCAAATTTCAACTAATTTATTTTCCTTAATGTTTAGGAAACTGCTCTTTCTTTAGTTTTTTGTTTTATTTTTATTCCTGGGCCTTGACTCTGCTCAAGCGATTCCTCATGCATCCGGTAGCTCTAGAGCTCCCAGGCAGCCATCTTGTCTTCTTCCCGCTTGCTGCACAGTGTTGCTGTTTGATTGGCAGTGTTGCATCATCAGTATCCTGATGATGAGGGAGGACCAAGAAGCGAGGGGGAGGAAGGAGTACCAGTATTTGCAATCTGTTCGGGCAGGTCTGTAGTCTATCTTTCCATATGCACCGTGCTTAATGTTCTCAGGAAATATGAGATGATACTCTCGCCTGGATTCTCAAGTAATTATTTTGATAAATATGATACAATATTGTGTTAAACCAGGGGTGTCAAACTTGTGTCATCACGGCATCATCATGTGACGTATCGGGACTTTTTTTCCTTTTGCTAAACTGGGCGTGGCGTGGCCAGTATGTGACACATCTGGCCCATGGGTTGTGAGTTTGACAGCCCTGTGCTAAACACTACTGAAAATGAGTTCCTGAATGCTCAACAAATATAATCATAGGATATCCTTTCCCTGCCTCTTCAATTGATCTTTAATATTTAGACATATCAAGTTTTAGTACACTATACACAGCTCTTTACTTTCTAAAGATGGCATCTACATTTTCAAGAGAGAAGTGAATGCATCACAGTACAGCTTTGGTATAAGTAACCTCCAACATGAACAACCTTACTTGTTTAAGTTTCTTTAGATCTTCATCAAGTTCCAGGTTGTCTAGAATAACTGCAACAAACAAGCTCAGCAGAATCTACAAAATTAAAAAAAAATGGAATTTAATATTTTTTTAAATAAATTAATATACTTTTAGTGAAGTAAATATGAAGAAAAAGTCCAAAATAGAAGAGAAATATAGTTGTAGTCTACCTGGATTTTTAGATAGGGATTTTATGGATTGCATATGTATAAAGAAACATTTGGAACACACAGTACATAAATACATGCATATATGTTGCTCAATAATAGTTCAACCCTCCTTCAGCCACTGCTCCAGCTAAAAACCTAATGAAAAGCTGTTCGAAGATTTGATCAAAGAATTCTACCTTGGGTGCAAAATACAGTGCAGTTTAGGGTGATTGTTTCCCATTTCTATGGCTGAGAATGACAGGCATAGAAGGAAGATTTTTACTGAATGTCAAAAACAAATCTAGAGCATTATCACAAAAGAACAGTTAAACCTCAGCTTATTATTTAACTTCACCATCCCCTTTTGAGTTTTAATAATAGACTTCACTCCTAACACAGTTTTTGCTTTTCAAATGTAACTTCTATCTTAGCCTCTGCTGTGAAAACTATTCATTTCTCTCAGTTGTCTACAGAATCTGTTTCCAAGTGCATACAATTAGCACTTTTGAACTTTACCCGCCTTCTCATTCTGAGTTCTGAAAGTTATCATTTGCTGCAATGTTTTCCTGCTGTTTTATTGCTTATGTCTCTGTCACTATTTCCTAGAGCTTTTTTTTGTCATGGTTACTGAAGTTATACAGGACTCCTAAATAACCATTAATCATGACAGGTGCAGCCTCAGGTTCTAGGGCTTTTGTTAAAAGGATAACAACATTGTCGGGCCATCTTGATGCAAGTTCTGTCCCTTTCACATGTACTTGTGATGGTAAAGGTAAAGGTAAAGGTTCCCCTCGCACATATGTGCTACTCGTTCCTGACTCTAGGGGGCAGTGCTCATCTCCGTTTCAAAGCCGAAGAGCCAGCGCTGTCCAAAAATGTCTCCATGGTCATGTGGCCGGTGTGACTAAACGCCAAAGGCGCATGGAACACTGTTACCTTCCCACCAAAGGTGGTCCCTATTTTTCTACTTGCATTTTTTACGTGCTTTCGAACTGCTAGGTTGGCAGAAGCTGGGACAAGTAACCGGAGCTCACCCTGTTATGCAGCACTAGGGATTCGAACCACTGAACACCTGACATTGCGATCGACAAGCTCGAGCGACCGCGTCCCATGTGATGTCACAATGTGCATGTAAATGGTTGAAGCTTGCATTAAGGTAGTTTTCAGCATTTGTTCCCTCTGATCCCCGGGCCAACAACCTCTGAATAGTGGTATTATTAAAGTATGCACAGACATTAATGTATGAATCTGAACATCCTGGGATAACATGTATGTTGGAAAGGGATGCAGGAAAATCTGCACTCCTTAGAAGTGTATGGATCTCAAAGATAGATGAGAATATAAACTCTAGAAAACTCAATTTCTGCCTAGTTCACGAATAACTATACATTAGGTCAAAAGGGAATAATCCTTCCCTTAATGAATTGGATAGTTGCTTGAATAGAAGTCGTTGCTGTAATTGCCAAATTTGCACCAGATAACACCATCAGTCCTTATGTTTCGTCTATTTAATGAGTTTGTTTTCACAGATGTTCCATTGGACACTTCCTTTCTTATAAAAAGCACCTGTTCCACATCCCAGAAGCGTAAAGCAATGAAGATCTGCTAAAATTGCATCCCTTCATTGTGTTCTATCTATATATGAAATTAATTGTTGGTTTGCTCTTATGTTAGAATGCCATACCATGACAATTCTTGTGTGCTTATTCGGACATCATAAAATAGGGAAGCACTGTATTAACTTCTAATTATCAGCTGTTGCCCCAAGTCTTTTATTAGTTTTCTGTTTAATTACAGCTATGGGAAGATTGCAATGCAATGAAACTATAGAAAACTTTGCTTAATAAACATACGTTCTTGCTTCATTATGATCCCTGTTTTGCTGTGTTTCAGGATGTTAATAAATACTCTATTAGGTTAAAGATCTTGTTTAAAAACACCTTGTATTTTTTGTAAACACGGGTCACCATATGTTACAGATCTGAACTCCAGATTCTTTCCAAGAATTAACATAGTTGCCTTTATTGACAAGTGAAAATCCATCAGTTAAAAAGCTAAATTGTTTCTGCTAAACAATTCTGCACAGATATTTGCCTCAATGGATATCCATTCCTGGGATCTAAGTAGCAATCTCTATTCAAAGTGAAAACAATCCTATTGAATAGTATTCAAATGCAAAACATTCATATAATAAAATTAAAAGTGATGACCAGACCCTAACTCAACAGCTGAGTATCTCTAAGCAGGCAAGGAAGAAGGATTCTGGCAATGCCCAAAAGTTGTAGGAAGGCAACACAAGGCAAAGCTAGAAGTTATCTTGGGAAATACTGACTTCCAATCTGTGATTCGTATAATATTCAAGAAATAGAGAAAAGCAAGTATCAATAAAAAGGAAGTTCCTCTTGTTCCTGGCAGTTCTCTCCCTGACAAATTTTTCTTCTGTAAAAGTAAACTTAAAATGCCCAGAAGCAATTGAATGGGAGAACTGATCAGTAGAGGAGTAGAGAAAAGAGCCATTCTTCCTTTGAATTGTTTCTGCCCTGCAAGTCCACCTACTTAGCGTGTAACCTAGTGATAGAACACATATTTGGTGTCCTTGGATGTCTGCTGACAATGTTACACTAGATGAGCTAGTTTTGCACTGATGAGTCAGCATGAAATATGTTTCAAAAATTGATATATGCAAATAGTGCATGCAACTTACCAGGGTAGCAAAAAGATGATATAAAATAAAGTAAATAGCAACGACTGGTGCCCACATGTGACCCACAGCATTGAGAGTCTGATCCATGACATCCACCCATCCTTCCTGTGTCAGAATTTGAAACATTGACATGAAAGCCTAAATCAAAACATAAACAAACAAGCCAGTTAGATATCCTTTACTGAAATAAGCAAATACTGTAAGCTCCATAATAACACCAGGCTTGTGATTGTAGGGACAATCTGGTTAATAACAAGTATTTGTACACTGCTCTGATGGTATTATTGGTAGAAACTGCATGCTTCTGTTTATTAGCAGGAGTTCCTCCAAATAACTCCCATCGTATCTTTAGCATGTTTTTAAATCCAAACCACATCACAGCAATAAACCTTTGTAAAATCACAGCAATAAACCTTTGTAAAATCCAAGGAGCACCACTGAATTTCAGTAGTACAGTTGTAAAAGCACAGTTTAGTGTCGTTCCTAAAGGTATCTATAGCTAGCAGACTATATTTCACCAGTGGGTTCCATGTACTATTTCTCAGATAGGGAAGTTTCTATTCTCCAGTTTCTATTCTCAGATTTATAGCTTCTAATATGTCACAGATACCATTTCCAGATGATCGTAAAACCTCCATTCAGATGTTAAACACTAAGTCTGAATTCAACTCTGCATCAACATTTGAATGCAGATCTTAATGTGATTCCTGGTCAAACCAACATACGATAGTCTGAACTCTTCTACAGATCTCAATATGTCACACAGTAAAACACAGAAAAGAAGACTAATATCGTTTACATTGTTTCTTGGTAGTAACTATCTGGTTCTGGTATTAAATGGAGCTGCATTTATTTTTGAAGTTTTTTTTTTTAAAAGTATCTTTTTGTCTAAGAAAATCAAAACCACCATTTATAATATGATTCATTCTAACTGTGTTCCAAGACGTTTCCTGTAAGTGACAACCTCTGCATTGGGAAAACATTAGTTTTAAGATAATACGGCTGTATACAGTGATTTTAACTTTGGAAAGTAGCAATCTTTCTTTCAGAGCAAGATATTTTTAGTTGAAAGATATACTTCCCACCAGTTATGCTAAAAGGAATCAGAAATGTAGCTATCTTGCTGTCAGAACAACTAACAGCTGTGAAAATGAGACCTGGAGATTTATGCAAATAGAGGGTTTTTAAAAATTAAATTGTGTGTGTACAGTATATGTGTGTGAAGAACCCTTCAGATTTTTTCTAATTGTTTTTAAGTTTAATTCATGCTAACCTGTTTTCCCCAAAATAAGACATCCCCTGATAATAAGCCCAATCGGGCTTTTGAGCGCATGGCAATAAGGCCAAGCACTTATTTCAGGGTTCAAAAAAATATAAGACAGGGTCTTATTTTCGGGGAAACACAGTATTCATCCTGGCGGTTCAGCAGCAACTTTCTTTACTTTTAGCTGCAATGTATGACTTGTCAAATATCAGATCATGGAAAAGCTGGAACAGAATTTATTTCATGTCCTGGTATCTTCAGACTTCTTTCCTCAGTCTTTGGATCACTGTCTGAAGAATGGGGTCAAAAAAGTCAAGGATGTGGCCACAGCTATGTTATCAAATATGTTGTTTCTTGTAATGCATGCACAAAAGGGCCAGGCTTTGATTATATGGTTGTGACTACCACCTTGATGTTTTGACGTTCGTATTTGATCACATCGAACAGATTGAGAAAACATTAATATACAGGAAAGAAAAAAGGGGGAGAACAGAAAGAATACATTCCCATTATATTAAATATTATGCTGGTCTACAAGGAAAAAATAGCTTAATTTTACCATAATTGTGTCGCTAATAAAGAAAAATTAAGTCCTGAGTATTAATTGCCTCCAATTTCCAAGATAACAGCTTCAGGTCAAAATTGCATCAAAATAACTTACAAATTATAAGGGGGATCTGTGATTATGCTCCATAACATTTCTGCAAAATGTGATATAGCAACGAGAATGGTGCCACATGAATCACTATAAATTTATCTTTCTATTGATACCAATAACATAACTTTCCATTCATTTATTAGTTTTTCGTGTAACATTTTCATGCTTTTTGCATGAAAAACTGACAAGCTCTTAACATCAGATTAAACGACAAGGTTCCATCTTTATTCAGTATCCAAACTGCGCTTTTGGGCTTTTATCTTCTGAACTGCAGTAGGATCATCCCTGGGGAGATTCCAGCAGTAATTGGCAAGCATGAACAGACTCCATTTCCCTTGTTATCTTTTCTCCATGCCTGTGATATCCTGGTGGAATCTCTCCCCATGCTCGTCACACACTGGCCCACAGTTCAAAGGGAAATAGTCTAAATGTGATTGTAAGAAGTGAATTTTCAGTGACATATTTGCACCAAGTACTTTATAGGATCTAAACAAAATTTCCACCAGTTTTTCATAGTCATCTGCCTTGCTGGTCTCAAAGCAAAGATAAATTTATACACTTCCATATGGCACCATTTTCATTGTTCTACCATACTTTGTCAAGAAGTTACAAGGCATCATGATTATTAAATACCTCCCTCCTTTGTAGGCAAATATATTTACCTGTGTATGAATCTTTATTGTGAAATATCTTGAAAAGTTTACCAACCAGCCTTTATCACCTATTTCCTAATTCATCTGACCAAAATATGTAAAATTAACACATTTTATCTCGAAGGTCAATAATTTCCCAAATTTGTAGACCAGTCTAGTCAGTCTCATTTTTTGAATCTAAAGCACTGTCAAAAATTTCAATCTTGGATCCTGCATTTTTTATAATATTTTATAATTTTCATGAATTTCTGAAGAATGGATATTCTTGATCTCTGTGGTCTTTTTATATTTTGTATATATTTCGCACCTTTGTTTCATATTTTAATTTCTCATGTTTAAAGCAAGGATTTTAAAAATAGCTCTTTTTAACTATATTACTTCCATTTTCTAAAAAAAAAAAAATGCCTCTGGAAAAAAATTCTCATTTTTTTAGTTTTTCACTCATCTTTGAGTGTGATATTAATCAGAATATTAACCTCTATTTCCTGAAGTAACTATGCCTCATAAAAAAATTCTTCCCCAACACAGAAAGCACAATGCACAAAAATATTAAGTTTCTAAGACAGTTTAAAAATGCAAGGCATGTTCCACATTTTTAGTTCAACCATAATTTCAAAAATTAAAAAACAAGGAAAAAGGAAAAGAAGAAATACTACCCATTACAAAATTGGATCTTAAAAGCCCCCATTCACCTGAAAACAAAATATAAGAGACCTTGCAATCTGAGAAAAATGGGCTAGAGAATGCTGTAGATGGTAGCCATGGCAACCATAAGCTTCTATTTATGTCGTGTTTGTCAGGATACCATGTGAAAGCATGGAATTTAGAGGCATTAGGAAATAAAAGTGGTCTGCCTTTTCTCTTTTTCTCCTAAAAACATATAATGTTCCTACAGGGCTTGTACTTCAGCAACATTAATGGATGTGATAATCAATTCTTCTTTCTGCTAAGTCTTTTGGCATCTAGAGCAAAAGATTTCATGTCAGAACATGCTGACCATTTTAAGTTTGCTTTTACTGTACTTAGAAGGGAATGGTACTGTGCCCAGCTAAAATGCCTATCTTTCTTTACACCAAAGAACCCAAAACATTTGTCCATAATGAGTGTTTGGATATGCAGTCTTCTGCTGCCATTGGTTTGATATGTCAAGACCCATAGGAACTTGCATTATTTGATTTAATATGGCTACCCATTCCAGAAGATTCTAGGTGGCAATTTTCTATTTCTACATTCCTGTGTTTCTCAATCTGGGTAATTTTAAGATGTGTGGACTTCAACTCGCTGAATTCCCCAGCCAGCCAAATTCTCCATGTTGGCTGGGAAATTCTGGGAGTTGAAATCCATACATCTTAAAGTTGTCCAGGCTGAAAAACAGTGCTGTAATCTGTTAAACAAGGAGGATGTTACTCTGAGCCGGGCCCAGAACTGAACTCAAAAGAAAAATCTGGAAAACCATTTTCCTGAGTTCTATTCCCAGCAGCTTTTTGGAAAAGTAAGGAAAGGCAGAAGGCATAGTGATACAGTATTGGCATTAGAATAATGTGATAGCCTGGAGGATATCAATAAAACACCACCATTTTAAAGTAATGATGGGATATATCATTTCTGAATTATTTCATATTTTGTTTTAGTATTCTGCTGGTAAAAAATGCAAAGTTCTGCCACACCTCATAGTTATTATGTTAATTTTCTATTCATTACATGGTTTAAATGTAATCCTCCTTATATTGCAAAAGGGGAAGGTGTGAATGAGATTAAAAAACAAACAAAAACTATACTCCAGCACATTTGCCAATCTGCCGCTGAAATACAAGCAAGGAAAGAAATTCTCATGTGACAATTTTCCAAACTAAAAGAAACATTAAGAAGTAAGAGACTTAAGAGTAAGTAGGAAATTCTAATCAGTAGGAATTTGTGACCTACAATGTTAGCCTCAAAAGCCTCAAATGTTAATTATTTTACCTTTCATATATGTAATGTATGTCAGGTCAATTGGGTTGCAAATAGATGTACAAGCTTATAAATTCTGGACTTGCTTTGCAAGGAGAGAAGCTATTATTCATGCAATAGATTTTTCAGAGCTCAACTAGAGGAGATAATATATGATTTTGTCTTCTGTGGCGTTTTTTTTTATTCACATTTTTTCAACATTTTTGTTTAGTTTTGTTCTGTTTCTGTTCAATTCTTTTCTTTTGGATTTTGGTTCTTAATCTTTTGAATAAAATAAAATAAAATAAAATAAAATAATTTTAAAAACCCTCAAATGTGATTTAAAAGTCTAAAGAATTTCCTAATTGATATATCAATATTAGGGACAATTCTGCAATGACAAAATTGTGTTCACATGGTTTATATCTTTAGGGGGAAAATGCTGTATTAATTATTTTGAAATTATCATTTGGAAGTTTCTTTGGTACGACCTTTCTTTCTATTTATATTTAGCTAGTAATTTGACTTGTACATTGATTTTAATAAATAATAAATTTTAATAAAGTTAGGTAATTTGTTGAAAACAATTAAACTTTTCAATCTAGAACTGATCATTTTCCTAGGGCAATAAAAGGGCAAACTTGCATTTTTAGGTTCAATTATACCAATATATTAGTTTTTAAATTGGAAAAGAAATTCTTTTTTATTCAGAAGTGTAAGAATTATAGACTTTGCTTATCTTTCTGCTCTAATTAAAAATAGGTACTATCAATTCTTACATGTATCTATCACATGCTTTTATTTATTCCAATTTAATTGACTTAATCAACAGTGTAGGAATAAGAAACAGCAATAATAGGAAGCTGACTTTGGCTCACTAAAACTATTACATTATTTGTGCCTTTAATTTACATAAATTTAGACTAGCAGATTAAGAAAATGGCATCATTTTCATTCAAACAAGTACATCAAATCAATTACCAAGTGATTTCCCATTTTTATTCTGCTGTGCACACATTATCTATTCTAAACCATATTTAGGCTCAGAGTCATCATTTTAAACAATGAAAGATATCAGCCTTACATTATCAACGAATGACCTTTTTTACATATTTATCAAATGACTTATGGAATATTAGTGGTTAGCATTTAGCATTGATATTGTTTGATTGAGATCTTTATGTGATTAGACACTACAAGTTTTAGCAGAAACAACATATCCATACTGTTTCCAACCAAGAAATCACAGATCTAAAAGGGAAAATCAATTATGTGCAATATAGGTATTCTCCTATAGGTATGAGGAAAATATGAAGCCCAGAGCACTCAATATGTGATAACAAAACTATTAATTTTTGGTGGCATAATTTTTTTTACGACATTTTTTTGTAGGCACAAAGAACAAAATTGGTGAACTATTTCCACAGGGCAACACAGCTACATAAAAACCAAAAACCAAAAACCAAAAACAAAAAAAAAACAACCCACCATAATAACGAAAACCTCCAGAAATAAAAAAGAAAAACAGGCAATGTTTAGTGTCTATGGAGATACTCAGTCATCCAGGTCATGGTTGTCCCAAAGGTGCTTTTTCAAGCGGCAACTGGACTTTCAGTTTTGTTTTTTTTAAGAACTGAAGAAGCTTCTTGGATGAGAAGTGAAATGTCTTCAAAGAAAAACCAGAAAGCCCAGCTGCCTCTTGAAAAAGCACCTTTGGGACAGGCAAGGTTTAGCTATGCCATATTCATAGCTCAATACTCTAGGAATGTAAAACATTACAAATGGTAAACCAAATGTAAAACCTATCTGGGCCACAGAAAAGCTATAGTGATCTGTTGCTACATTATGAATAAAGGCAAATATACATGTCCCAGGACAATGTTGCAAGATCAAATCTGAATTGGTCACCGGGACCAGATGTTTATTCTTCCGAGACTTGTGATGGAGCCCATCTTCAGGGAATTTCTCTTTACTGGAATATGTCCTTTTGGCTATTCTATCAGTTGTATTTATGTGGTACCTTCTTATTGGTTGATTGATGTGTTGATGACTGATGATTGGCTGTTGTTTCCTTGTACTGCCAAGCCCTTGGCTCCTAAACACCTGAATGATGGTAAAACAGCACTCCTGCTGACTGACAAAGACTTGTTTCCCAGGCTTCAATCATTTCCCTGGCTGTCTTTGTACCTGCATGGCCAACAATCTTAGTAGTTGCAAAACTGAATGTATGTCTTTGTTCATTGCAATATGAGGCTACCAATAAGTTCAGATCTCCTTGTCTGACCGCTCGCTCGTGTTCTTGCAGTCTGGTGGTTAACTTCCTCCCCATCTACATAATCACAGGGGCAATCCATGCAGGGGATCTGGTAGATTACATTAGAAGTATCTCCTACCTCCAAGAGATCTTTGCAATGCATGATTTGTCCTCGTATGGTAGCCTCTGGACGGTATGTGATGCCCACTTGCAGATCTTGAAAGCTACGTTCTATTGCTTCTGAAATGTTTTTGATGTATGCAAGGGTGTGCCATATAGTTGGTCTTTTACCTTCTTTCTTCCTTTCTCTCCTTTGTGTGTTGCTCAGGCATCTTGTAATAAATGCTTGTGGGTACCCATTCTGCCTGAGTTGTTCATGTAGGTACCTTCTCTCCAGTTGTTGTTTAGCTTGCTGGGCATTACAGTGGGTTTTCACCTTGCCATAATATATAGTGTTCTGATGCAGCTCTTTTTTGTGTGACAATGGAGGGTTACTGTCGAAACTAATAATTCAGGCAGAATGATCTTGCAACAAAATCTTTTCTCACAGAAACCAGGGAACTGGCTTTAATAAGATTACAGTATAAAGCCATTTCTAAACAGCCACAATCTGATCGGTTGCAATGGAATTTTTAACTTACCCTTGGAAATGTGGTAAATCTGTCTAGTTCTTCCACGAAACAGAACATTTGCAAACTAATGGCTGACATTACAATTAATAGACTGGCAGTAAATACAACTAAACTCCCAAGCTTTTTTCCAGGTCCAAAAATCTTGTATACAAAATCTTCCAGGGCAGGAGAAATCTTGATAAGTCGAACAACTCTAAGCACCTGCAGAGAGAAAGGAAACGTTTTTTTTTAATTGATGTAGCTGTAGGTTGACAAATGAAACAAATAGGTTCTTTTTCTAGTGACACCTATGGCATATAACTTGAAAAATATACAGTCGATGGAATGGTTACTACGGTGTTAGGGATGTCCAAAGAAGTTTGCTCTGCTGTTTTTCATTTCACTGGAATTCTTGAGAGTGACAACTGGACTTTGAAACAATTTTACGACGCTTCCAAAGATTGTGGCTGCTTTATTGCTTGGGGAAGGGATATTCTGTTCATACTATTAGGCTTTCCAAATCACCTAATTTAAACACTTTCCTAAGTCATAAGATATACATCCATTAAATGTATTATTTTATATAATTTCAAGCTGATGGCCAAACTTTCAGCATTTCCATATTCATAAAACTGAAATTTATGGTGAATTATAGTTCATTTCTCTCTTTCTTTGAGTTGTGTCTAAATATTATAGCTTAAAATCAATACAAACATGAAAGAAGGAACACCAAATTAAATAGCCAATAGTAATTTCCAGAAACAGACAGCAATTTCTACAAAAATCTAGGTCAGAGCTGTATATTAAACTGAAATATTTCAAGAGTTATTGTTACAAGAGGACTCTTAGTTTTTTCTGCAATTCCATCTTGATTCTAACTTGAAAGCTAAAGAGTTTGCAGGGTGGGACAATTTAATGTTTTCATCTTAAATTCCCTTCAGCCTTACTCAGCATAACCAAAAAAAAAAAAAAAGAAAAAAGAAAAAAAGAAAAAAGAAAATAAAAGTCTAACATTCAGAGGACATCAGGTTGTCTATCCCTGAATATCAGTCATACTGAAATCTCTTCTAATTCCCGTATGTCTGTCTGTCTGTCTGTCTTTTGTGACTGGATCACTTACATTATCATTGGCTTTGAAGGAGTAGAGGGTATCCCTACAATATATCTGGCGATATCAGAGTAAGTAGAGCAGGTGGGGCCAAACATTCACTTTTTTTTCTTTAAAAAGAAACTAATAGAAAAATACATTACATATAGGAGATTCGGGAAAGGTTTACAATAGGAATGAAAAAATTCCTCTTAAAACATTCCTAAATCCCAACCCTTACCAAAGAAAGGAAGCTCTGTTGTTCCCCACTCTGAGAAAGTGAGGTATATAAAGGGATAATCTGCAGCCTGAAAATAATATCTCCACTTCACACTAAGTATCATGCCTCCTAAGCTAATTGACTTTTAATCAGTCACTCACTCAATATATGTGTATATATTTTAATCAAAATAGATGAAACTATCCAGTTTTTATTTAAATGTTAAAAACAAGTTACTTGTTTCATGCTTGACTAATGTTCTGCTAAATGTTTTATTGTGGGTGCTTCCATCCATACTTACATTACCTTAATTGACATTTAAGTATCCAATTAATCTTTCCAGAAACCAGCTTACAAGCCCATTTGTTTTCATCAAGAGAGAAACAGGACAGACTTCAAACAGTATCCTTTACAAGTCCATATTTTTATTTGAGCATGGTTTGAATTTTTTTTGAGGTTTAGAAGCAGGAAACTATAACCATTTCCGGAGATTTCTCCCTCTCCAACATATGATAAATGTTTCTTATTCCATATATAAGATCGTATATGAGTGCATCAGAGAAAAGCTACACACTTATATTATCATCAGTAATGTGAGATGATTGGCTCCTTCAATTTATACCGCATTATATAGAAAAAATGATTTTGTTTTGTTTTTGTGGTGTGTGTGTGTATGAATATATGAATATATGTACACACACACACACACACACACACATTTTATTAGGAAGGATAATCCCAACATTATTCAAAACATTGATGATGATCATTGTGAAGGGAAACAGTTGTTTCAACTACTTTATTTTGTGATTTTGGCTGCAATACAGGTAGTTCTCCACTTAAGACCACAATCAGAACTGGAACCTCGATTGCTAAATGATGTGGTCATTAAGCGAGTTGCATGACCGTGTCTGATTTTATGACCTTTTTTTGCCATGGCCATTAAGCAAATCACTATGGTTTGTTAAGTGGCTTCACCCACTGATTTTCCTTGTCAGGAGTCATCTGGAAAAATGGCAATCACATGAACCAAGGACTTGTCTTCCATTGTAAATAAATGCCAGTTACCAAGCAACCAGATTGCAATCATGTGACTGTGGAGCCTTGTAATGTTTGTTAAGTGTGAAGCCTGTTCATAAGTCACTTTTTTCAGAATCACCATAAATTTGAATGGCTACTAAACAACTGTTTGTAAATTGAGGACTTTCTGTAATTATTTCTGATGTATTTATATTTCCATTTCCCTTGTTCTTCTATCATCCATAGACTTTTGAATATCCATAGGCTACTAGATAGCCTATCCATTGAATTAATTTGGCTCTTCTGTTCATCTTTAAAATTATCTCTTTCCAATAAGCCTTCAATTTTCTATAATTAAAATGTTAAAATTTTAATCAAAGCTAGATCTAACAGTCATCCATCACGGACAAGCTTGGATCTTCATTTGCATTTGCAGGGAAGATTTATGGCTATTTATTTGCTTGTGTGTGTGTGTAATTACAGTTTAAAATCTATCTGTGGGCTTTTGGGAAATGATGTTGGCCACAATGGACAGAAGGGGATAACTCATGTAGCACAGGCAATGCATTTTTCAAAGTCCTCCATCTATCATTTGAGGATAGAAAGCCTAGACTGCAGAAGGTAACTTAAAATTGTCAACGTGCTTAAAATATACTTTAAATATACTTTGCTTAAAAATCCTATGTAACTTTACACAGGAGAATTTAATAAAGATGACTGTGAAGCAAGTATTAGAAGATATGCGCTCTTCATTTTGTAGTGTCCTAAAATTTATATTTTGGCTGGTTTGAGAATACAGCACTTTCAGCCACTGATTTATGAAAAGTTCTTGATTTTCAAATCTTAAACAGTCATTTTAAAGATTGGTGAAGCTTAAAATAAAATACTGAATGGATTATAAATTATTTAAAAACCTATGTCTTAAATCAGAATATCTATTTAAATCTAAGGATCGTAATAGATGATTATGTTCCTGATCCAGTTGTGGTTTTTTGATTCATCACCCCTGGCTAGAAAGGTGAGCCCCTCTGCAGAGGGCCCACCAGAAGGAAATCAGCAAGATAGGGCAATTATCTTGATTAAAGCCTTACAAATCCCACAAGGCCGGTTGGTCATCTGAGAAGTGGGACCGAAAGAACTGATCATCATCAGCTCCTTCAGAAGTGAGTGCTACAAATGTGGGGTCATCTGGGACTGCTTCTGGTCCTTTTGCAATAGGGAAGTCCATGTCCAGAGAAATGACCCAGATGAACAAAATGGACCCTGCCACCGACACCAAGTGGTACAAGGAACAAAATGGCCGAGGGGAGTTGAACATAATGATTGATATTCCCAGAGACACCTGGACAAAACAACAAATCCTTCAACCAGTGATGGCGCTAATGTAGTTCTAGATCAGCAAGGGTTAGGAAAGAAATTACAGCCTGCTTCTGGATTGGCAGCCTTCAGCTGACAGGAGATGTCAAAGTGTGGTGGGTAACCCATCCAAACCATCCAGCCAGTAACCCAGAGAGCATGAGCCAGGCCACGCCTCCTGATAGAACTTCAGTTCCATGAGAAGAAACATCTGCACCTTCAACCTAAGTGTGGGGTCAGAGTACTTTTCCACCCTGAGGGACTTCATGGACTCTGTGCACTCAGGTCAGCACCTCCCATTCGGGAACCAGTTACAGAAAGCCTGAGAATCTTTTCTGGGAAGCAGCCTGTAACACCTTGGGAAGAAGAATACGAAACTTGGATGGAACAAGACATGCAAGCAGTGGAAGAATGAGAAGTTTCAGAAGCTCAAGAGGAACAGAAAAAAAAATGTTATTTAATGATTGTAATTATTGGCTTTTAGGTTAGATTATATTTTTGCTTAGCTATCTGAAAAGCTATGGTTGAAGTTTCAAGTGAGATTGAAAAGTGGCATATAAATTTTACAGTGCTTTGGATTAAATTATAAAAAAGTGTATTGCCACAACAAATACAATAATTCAATAAGAAATATCTACTCGACAGGTGACAGGTGAGCATCATGCTGAAAATGAAAATAATAAAGCCACAAAATAAATTAATAAACATCAATGATATCTGACACTTTTTGGAGTGATTTCAAATAATATTTTCCTCTGGTATACTGAAGTGGAAATTAGCATTCTACCTGAAAGTATGTAAACTGTGAATGGTAGAGGACTGGATAAATGTGAAGAGTAGTTCCAATAACCAGCAGCAGTTCAAATTTATGAAGAGATGAACTGATGTATCCAGTAAATCCCAGGCACCAGATCTTTAGGAGAGCTTCCAGATCAAAGAGGACTGTAAAGGCCACCTGTGAGAACAGAAAAGGACAAAAAGAGCCTAAGCAGAATTTCTTAGAATTACTATATGTCAGTAATCATGAAGCATGAGAAATTTCATGCTCATGGGCATACTAACTTTCCCAAGAAAAAGACCTCAGATTCAGATCAAATCTCTGAAACAAGGAAAAAGAAATATCTGCAAAGACTGTGCTTTGCATTGCAGCAAGCGGTAAATTGGCTAGGATGTATCTGCTTATCAAAAGCTGAGTAGTTGCAGCAAGAGAGTATTTCCCTTATTCCTGAAAATATTCATGCCTAGCTGTCAATTGCTCAGAATTTCAGAGCAGAAGAAAAATACCTGCTACATAGTTACCAATATCTGTCTTAAAACAAGGCATATTGTAAGTGAAATTTCTTTGTCCTGCGTACTTTCCCTTTTTGAAAGTTGCTTGACAGATTTTTGTCAATAGTAACATAAACATATATACCTAATGCAAAACATTTTCTTGAATGAAATATCAACATCTAAACAACACAAACCAATGTTGACCCTCCCTACACTCTTAAATACATATAATGTGGTGTATCCATATATGTGGCATTTGATGTTAATGGATATGCTTTGAACATTAATATTGAAGAAGATTAATGAGAATACTGTGGACAGCTAAGAAAACAAATTGATAGATTATCCAACAAATCAACCCAAAGTTATCAGTCAAGACACAAATGACCAGGTTTAAATTATCCTATTTTAGATACATTATGCAAAAACCAGGAGAACGCGCTAATGTTGGAAAAGGTAGAAGGAAAGAGAAGAAAAGGATAACCAGCAGCAAGGAGTCTTGAAAGGTTAGGGATAGATCATCATTCTATGTGGCCATTAGAAGTCAAAAATAACTTGATGGCAAATAATCAAATCAATATCAATTAAAAAGGTTTCTGGTTGCATATAAAGTTAAAAAGTAACTTGAAACAACCATCCCAGCCCCATCATCATTGTCCATCATCATTTAAATCATATTAAATCAGTCTTATCTTGGTCAAGGCATCTGCAATAATGTTGATTTGTTTTCACAGAACATAGAATAATAGAGTTGGAAGAGGCCTCAGAGGTCTTCTAGTCCAGCCCCTTGCTTGAACAGGAGACCCTGTATCATTTCAGACAAATGGGTGTCCAGTCTTTTTTAAAAGCCTCCAGTGATGGAGCACCCACAACTTCTGAAGGCAACTTGGTTAATTCCAATTAACCAATTCCATTGGTTAATTGCTCCCACAGTTAGGAAATTTCTTTGGTTCAATAAGAATCAATAATGAAAGGAAAACTCACCTCTGCAAGGTAGAACTCGTCATATTGGCTCTTGAAAGTTTCTCCCTTGTAATAATTGCTAGCAGCAACAATGACATCCACGGCTACCATGCTCAGGATGAACATATGGAAAATTGAGGACCTCATCATTCTCTGCAGAGTTAAAATATAGATGTGCTGAGAAATGTTTATCTTGGGGAAAAAAAGAGATGATTTTATTCTCTGAAAACTGTAGCAGCCAGAAGCATTGTATCTGATTTTTTTTAAAAAAATGCCGTTTATTCATAAGTTATAAATAGAATGTTTAATATTTACAAATGTATAAAAACAATTAAATATACAGATACATAGTATCTTTAGTCTCGGTGCATTGCTTTCCACACACACACAGAAACCTGGGTGTTATTCTGATTTTCTTCGTTGTAGTTTTCATCTACTTTTGCTTACCACTAAATATATTGTGTCTTTCTAATATATTTCAGGTTTTTCTGCTTCTGCCCTTTTTGTAGGTAGGAATTATGAATTAATGAACCAGAAACGGATTATATGACATAGTAAAGTAAAAGATCTCTTTCAAGACAAGCTCAGCTCTTAATGAGTTCATCAATATATCCATGCTGCTTTCTTGGAAACAATACCAAAATGATTTTCTACTGCCTTTACCTGAGATTTTACATATATACTGAGATTTTGCATATCTATCTATATCTGTACCTATATATATAGATATAAATACACACACACACACACACACACACACACACACACCCCTCCAACTGTAGCTTACAGTCTTCCACCCAAATATTAATACTAATAAGGGAAACAAACAAGCCACTCAGAATCGTTTGCTGAGATGGGCAGCTATAGAAATCAATATCAAATAAACAAACAAAAAACCCAAAACTGTTTTTATTTATGCAGGTTTTGACAAAAGATTTAAAAAAATCTATAAACTTTAAGATTTGAAAATACCGATAATACAAATATTAATCCTACAGCTGTTAATTGACCTGAATCAATGCACTGCAGGATGAAAGTCTCTTCACTGAAGGTTAAAGACTGTAACTGGAGATACTCAGTCATCCAGGTTGGGGTTGTCCCAAAAGTGTTTTTTCAAGAGGCAATTGGACTTTCTGGTTTTTCTTTGAAGATGTCTCACTTCTCCTTCAAGAAGCTTCTTCAGCTTCTTAATTCTTCAATTAAGAACAAGGCTGGAGGTGCTAATAGCAAACTAGAGGACCCTCATCATGTAAATACTGTGACTATATATTTATATCCCAATATCTGTAACTATATATCGAGGATCTACATAAATGATGCCATTGTGAATATTTTGTCATTTGCCTGCTCTGGTTCTTTAATCATTTTGGGACATTAAAAAAAGATGTCATTAGCTTCAACTTTTCAGACATCCTAAATTTAATGAATTCCTGCCCTTCCTGCTTTACACCACTTGCCAAATCAGTATTCCCCTGCTTTGTTGAATTGGGACAGTAACTCCAGATTTCAGAGTAAACAAACAAACAAACAACCTCCCCCCCCAAGTAGACATCAAAGTTTAATTTTCTTTGTGGCCAGATTGGACTAATAAGGTGGCATTTCCCCTCCCACCCCCATGATAGAACCTTTGACTGAAATTGTCAAGGCCTTCAAATAACTTCTTTAACACCATAAGGGATAAGATGAAAGCAATATTAAAATGTAAATGCCAGGGAACTGTATGAAAAAAAAAAATATTCAGCATAATAAAACTGAGCCCAATATCAGCTGCACTAATTTCCAGTATTTATTTTGGCTTTGCTAATCACCTAGAGAAAAAAAAAAGTTGCAATCATTGACATACTTACATCAAATAAATCGTTAATGCAATCAGTGTGGACTTACCCACATGCAGTTTCTTTATATTAGGAGAAATCATTTATTGAAAGCAGGGTGGGATTGTTTCCTGCCCAAAGGATATTTGGACAGCTGATTAAATATGCTGCATCCTTAAAAGTAAACTTCAAATTATAAAAAGCTATTTTTAATCATTAAAATGCTTTTGGAAATAAATAAAGGCATATGCAGTGTGATCAGACTAAAAATTCATTAATATTCAAGTTTTAATTTAAGCAGAAAGTGCAGGTAAAGCAACACATAAATGTGTGGGAACCATGATTTCAATTTTAAGCACAGCTGGAAAGAATGAAAGCGCTGGATCTAAAACATGGCCTGAATAATTTCTCTACGAAATAAATGAGAAACAGTGCTGGATTATTAGGGGAAATATATCTACTGTCTTCCGGTATCAATACTAGATGTAGATGATGATAACGAATAACAGCTTTTAAATACATTTGATGACCGAGTTCATCGGTCTTCCTGAGGCTTCCTGAGTCATTAAAACACACGAGTAGTCCCAGAAACCTCTTTTATTGCAACAGCTGTAAATTATGTTCATTCACAGCTGAGTCCCAATTACTTGCAAAAAGTCCTTTGGGAGAAGTCATTTGGGATAATCACCAACCTTTATCTCCCTTGACACTCTGCTAAAGACTTACTTGGCAAAGCCACACAGATTCCAGAATCAAACAGAGATGCCGACTGGGAATAGAATTAACAACATTGCTTCCCTGCAAAGTGCACACATGCCTTTGTTCCTCTTTTAAGCCTTATGGGAGGGGCCAATCATCTCCAGACCTTAATCCTGAGTCGTCCCTTTTGTTTTAATTGTTCGTGCCTTCTGGCAGTTCTGCGTATGCACGCACTAGGAACAGGTCCTCCTGTTCCTCTGCCTCTCTGGTGTCCGACTCTGGAGGGTCTGGAGTCCATGCATCATTCCCAGATGGCCCTGTCCCCATCTCTGCCTCTGACGCAGAGCCCTGGTCCGGGCCTTCCCCAGACTCCAGGACTGGCCCAAATTCCTCCCCAGCCTCCTCACTGTCCAACTCCACTGCCAGCTCCGCAGGCTGCTGGCGGACCACAACAGCTTGCACAAGTTCTGTTGAGAAGCATGACAGCAATGGCTGCATCAGAGTCTATTAATTAGACTCTGATTAAATAATTAAATAGCTCACTAATTAAATAGCAGGTTCCATTTTGTTAAAAAAAAGGTAAAATGCTACAAAAAGTACTACAATTAATAATAGAAATGTTGGATACAGCATAGTAAAGGAATTCACTGGTTCCTAACAATCATTTTTTTGTGTGATTATTGTGTGTTTCAAAAAACAATGGACATGGAATGAGTGTAAATGCTGGTTGCACACACAACCAATATGACTGCAAATAAGAAAATGGCAACTTCTGGAGCAATCTAATTCAGTTTTGTTTGTAAGTGTGGTGAAGTTCATGGCTTCATGAAAGCATCATAAATTAGATTCAGCATAGACTAATTTGCCTTCATGAACCCATTTTCTACGCATTTATTTTAAAGCAAACAAACCACAAACAAGCATGGATAACGTTGGACAAGTTTGGTTAAAGCTGAAAAAAGTATCAGTGAGAATCTAAAAAAAATTTTTTTTTTAATATAGGTAGTCCTTGATTTATAACAGTTCATTGAGTGATCATTTGAAGTTACAACAGCATTGAAAAAAAAAATGACTTACGACTATTTTTCACACTTACCATCGCTGCAGCACCTCCATAGTCACATGATCAAAATTCAAATGCTTGGCAACTGGCTCATATTTATGACAGTTGCAGTGTTCTGGGGTCATGTGATCACCTTTTGTGACCTTCTGACAAGCAAAGCCAATGGGGAAACTGTGTTATTAACTTTTGCAATGATACTCTTAACTGTAGTGATGGGCTGTCTGCTAAAATAAAGCAAGGTCATGCACACACTTGAAAGTAAATCAGGAAGCTTGTAATTGTGGAGTCTGTCTGACAAGAACAAAGACTGCTTATTCACCAGCAATATGCATGTGTAAAACTTGTAACAATTCTAGGTAGTTAGAAAGCTGATAAAAGTAACCAAGAGTTAGGCAACTTGCAGACCTCAGCTGAAAGTTAGGAATAGAGATGGCCTGCAGCAAATAAAATGTGTATTAGATAACTCCTGGGGCATTCATTAGCCAAGGCCTGGGAATGCAGACAGCTAGAGACCAATAGAACAAATTGTAGAATTATTACTAAAAATTTTATTAGATATTTCTTATTATCCCGCCTTGTCCCACCTTCTTCTTTAGTGAAAATGTATAAAGCTTTCTTAATCCTTGGTTCTTGGCATTTTGGCCAGAAGCCCTTTTCCTTGGAGTACTCCAATAAAAAGCAATAAAAAAAACCTGCACCTGGCAAAACTATACTCGAGATGCCTTTTCTTGAGACGTTCTTGAGAAGAATGAACGTATTGGTTGGAAACATACAGAAGAGGCCTTCATCCTGCAGTGGATAGACAAATGACTAGAATGATGATGATAGAATAATATTGTTTCAATTCTGAAGTAATCCCTAGAACTTGCTGTCTCTTCATCTCCTTCAAAAAGTTATTTGTCAGCAATAACATGTTGTAGAAGAAAATACCCGAAGGCTGTTGATGTGAATTTTCCTTTCTTATGGATTACGCCTCTGGGATTTTAGGAGAGCAAAAGTCCACATCTGCATTGTAGGGAGATTTTTTAAAAAAGGAATGCTGAAGGCAATGTTGGTGTTTGTGGGAGAAAGAAGTGTGTGATGGAAGGCTACAGCAGCAAGTTGTATGTGGGCGAAGTGGAGTGAACGAAGAGATATGGAAGCTACTACAGTTGAGAAGGGAGTGGCAGAGTCTTCAAGCCTCCAAAGGCTTAGCCAGCAGGCCACAAGTAATTATCTTCTCTCTCCTATGAACTGAATAGGTCTTAGAGCCAGAGGAGTAACTCAGTAAAAAGGGAACAATTACCAGGTGACTTCAGCTGCATCTACTGAAGTGTAAGGGCTGGAAAGTACGGGGTCATACAGGGCTAAGTGTAAAGTAAAATGACATTAAAGCCTGAGTAAAAGGAATAAAGTTTCCAGTCCTTAAGCATGAGGGCTAGGAAAAGAATTGTGGTTATACTGCTTTATTGTTAAAAAAAGATGGGGAGTTCAGAAAAAAAATACAGAATAAAAGGGAAACTTGTACAGTTGTTAAGTAAGTACTGTTACTTTTCACTTATAGTTGCAAGTGTCATATATTCTCACATATTCTTAAG